CGGAGAAATGAATGAATAAGTATTTTATAAACTTGCTAACGCCATTGATCTTTTTTATTCCAGACAGTATTATTGCCTTAGTTATGTACGCTTTCCCTAGTGAGAGACCGCACTCAGATATAATCTTATTCGCTTCGTTTGAGGCACCATCGTGTGTGATAGATTTTAGTCTGTCGTCACATTTCAGGTAAATTATCATTTGACTTTTGTAGTAGCGTATGTCAGCCTTTAATTTTATTTCTTGCTTATCATTTTCGTTTTTCTCAACGTAGATATGGTGCTTATTTGATAGCTGCGTAATCTCATCGTTTAAATGTTCAGAATTGTTATGTAGCAATACGGTTGTTTCATCAATTGCCTGTGCGATTTTTGAGCAATTTTCTTGATTGGAATGAGTTGATTTGGCAAGAGAAGAATATGCTTCCACGATAGCATTGATCATCGTCTTAACGTCACCAGTTTGATTGTATGAAAGAAGCGATGATTTTAATTCTTCAGGTGCAATGATCGTTTGCTGCTGTAAGGTGTTGGTCACTTTTGTAATTATGTTATCGGCAACTGAGAACTCGTCATCAATATTTTGTTGATTGACGGATGATGTGGTTGATTTTTTGACAGAATCGGAAATTTTGTTGCTATTTTCATTGCCAGTGCCTTTTTTAGAATTTTTGGTCTTACGTGAGTTATGCATGGTTCCCGAATACAATATTACTCTTGCGTCTATTCGATGTGTTATTGACCTGCCAGCTAAATTCCGAATGTATATTAGAGCATATACTCAGACAATTTACCCCAGTTGTCAGTAACCACGAGAGACTATGAGTAATATTTAAGGTTGATGAAAATCTATAAGTTTTCTTGCAATTTACAGCAAGTTATGTTTAAATTGGCCACAGGATTTATAGATTTCACTACTTAATTGGTAAGTCGATCGTATCAGCCTCTCAAAATTTTTAAAAGTCAGTTTGAAATCCTCTGATAAACAAAATTTTGCAGAACAATGCACAACACAATAGCCTTTTGTTATGAACAATAGAGAGATAATGAATCGTTAATTTACGGCTAATTAAGAGATTATTGGTCTAGAATTTAAGTTTTTCACTTCCATATATCTCCTTTGAACATTTTATTTCCGGTTTGAATTTAAAAAACTTAATGAAACACTATAAAATATTAAAATATATGACGCGCACGAGACTTTCTTTCACATAATGGTTTAAAGGTTCTTGGAAATATGTCAAAATTAATATCATTCAACTTTTTGAGTGATTGCGCGTTTTGAACAACTAGTTTTGCAGGTATGGGCCGTTCACTTATTACGTTCGCATTTTAGGGGGAGAGGGGGTTTGAAAAATTGTAATAAAATATAATATAGAGGTGGTGTCAAGAAGTATGAAACGTTCTAACTGTCGCCTGTTTTTTAAAAAAAAGTTCACAAAAAAAATTTGTTCACAAATTCACACCAAAAACATTTTTTTTTAAATTTTCCACCTTTTTAATGATGTAATAAATTTTGAACGTTCAGGGGGGGGGGGGGGGGGGGGGTTGTGAGTTGTAACATATTGTAACAAGGGGAAGAAGGGGGTGAAAAAAGTCGTAACGTAATAAGTGAACGGCCCCATAGTCAAATATGAATTTTCTATTAAATCCAGGGGGAAAACTACTTGATGGGTTAAAGGTTCCATCAAAAATTATAAAAAAAAGAAAAAAGGTAAAATTTTTATTGTTAACTTTTTTTCCATTTTTTACCATTTTTCCATTTTTAATTTTTCCCATTTTTCCCATTTTTTCCATTTTTAACCTTTTATGCCATTTTTCCCACTTTATTTTACCATCAAAATTTTTACCACCCAAGTAGTTTTCCCCATGATTAAACCATAAAAATCTTTAATACATTGACTTACTTAATTACCTTAAATAGCCAGAATACTAATAAAACACAATTAAACTCGGGTATTACAAGAATTTTTCGTACAGTCTTAATCAATTTTTCATAGCTTTCGGAATCGTTTCATATAAACAAAAAGTAAATATTGAACATTCATGGCCATAAAATTAGCTTATTAAAACAAAAATAAAAAAATAACTTAAAGTTTTAACAACTTTCAAATAAATTTTCATATCCATCATGGATTTAAATGTAATTTAATGTATTATAATGAATTCTTTAGAAAATATTTTTAATAAAATTTTTTGCTTGCAAATATATTTACAGTTATAAACTGCCGTAAAAATTATTTCTCCTCCTTCTTTATGAAATGCTTATGAATTATTACTTGCTTGTTTTCTTGGAAGACGACTCTATGTATAAAGCAAATAAATAATCGTATGCATAGAGAAAGAGCTATTGCATTGCAGTATTATGGAAATGAAGCTCACACGATGATTCAATTACAAAATTTGCTTTGCAGAATTTGATTCCACATACAAGTGCTGTCGTATTCATTATTTAGATGCATTCAATAGTGTGGTTTATGCTCATCATTATGCACATTATTACACAGCGATGGATGAATGAGAATTGAGGTGAAATGACACGTTCACTAAACAGCTTATACATATTAAACTCAGCGATTGGATGAACGCAAATTTTGCAGAATGTTAAAGAACCATAAATTTCTGAGAATACGGGAAGCAGTCGCGCGATTGTTGTTACGTGATAACTGTTGTATAGGCATACTAAACTTCGTTTCTCTTTTGCAAAAAAAATTTTTTTTTATTTTCTTTCATTCTTTGTTTCCACATCTTATGAATGTTATTCTTATTATTATCAACATTGTTGTTATTATTACTGGATATTTCAGTCTTTACTTCTTTGCCGACAGTTACTGGTTAATAACACCATTGAATTGCCAAAGAGTGAAAGGCTTGTTGATTTATTTTGAGCAGTTAAAGGACACGTGATGAATAAATTACTTCACATAAGTTTATGCATAGTAATTGTCTAAAAAAGTGACAAAAAATGTCGTTCACAAAATTTTTATTTGTTTTTCTTGGAATTAATTTCTACTTTCTGTTTTTTCTTCCTCACTCTGTCTCATCTTTTTTTTTTTACATTTATTGTTGTTTCTGTGGCCAACATGGATCACCCAGATAGTGAAGAGTGTAATATGGCAACAACAATAAGTTATAATTTGATAGGAAAAGCTGATGAGAATAAACTATTGAAGATATAAGGATATAATGATTATACAAGTGCCATAAGCTGTTATGACTAAGAATAGAAACATTTCAAGATAGAAATCTAAAAATATTATCATCCTCAAGAGTTTCTCATGTCTCTTAAGTTTGAAAATTATTTTTTTTTTAAAGTTTTATGTTCGTATCTCTTTGAGATGCTTCTATTATTTAAGTTTTGTATGTTCTTTTTTTTTGGTATTTTTAACCAGAAAATTGAGCAGAGATAAATGAGCGCCGGCAGAGAAAAGAAAAATAAGGAAAAGAAAGAAACATAAAATGCTTGAAAGTGAGACAATGGATTTCTCAGTAAGAATCTTCCCAGTGTGAACAGCAACGAATGAAGAGAAAAGGAGGGTTGAAAGAACGAAAACTATGATATTTTTGTTCAAGTTGAATCATGTCCAATTCAAACTGAGTTTTGAGAGCTCAATTATAAAATTCTAGCTATTAGGACCAAAAGATGTTAACTGAGGACCCTCATCTTAATAAGTTTTTAAGTTTTACTGAGCAATAAAATTTTTTCATGTGATTCTTTTTGAAAAAAAATCTTGATTTGATTTTAATCCTGATTATCTCCATTTTACAACTCAAATAATTATTTGTCAGCATATTTAAAATTTGAATAAGTTCAATATTTAAACTTTTTATGCTTAGTTCAATTGAAACCACGGTAACGAGAAGCTCATTAAAGAATCTGTATGCTGTAATTATCACACCTATTTCTAACATGTGCAGGTAGTGTTATACAAATAATGTATAAGGAATTCTCTGAAAATGGAAATAATGTCTAGATATCCTTTTCACCTCACCTACATGGAAATAATTCTTCATTATCTGATGTTTCGCATCTCTCATATTTCACAAAAAAGACACACATACACACATGCAAACACAATTCTATAAACATGCTCGTACAAGCTGCTGCATTATTGTGTGGCTTTGTTGCAAATTTTATTTTCATCATCTCTTTAGCACTTTTGCCTTGCTCATTTTTATTACGGGTGTTGCAAATGTCTGTCTACATGCATTCCATTGTATGTCCATCCACATAAAATATAAAAATGGGAACAAAAGGAAGAAAAAAAATGTTTCTTGGAATTTCGAGGTATATTGGACAGAGAGGTAATGGCTGTGTGTGTATATATATATAGCAAAACTAAATCTCCTATTGTGAAAATGCTCTTTTTCAAAGCTATTAAATTGAGTAGATCAGAACAATGAGTGCATTGTGTGAAAGGAAGTACCAATTGATTCAGCAACTCGAATTATGATTTTACAAAATATATTTAAAGTGAAATGAGCAATTAAACAGCAATTTAACTCAGATTACTCTTAGCTAAGCTCTTTAAGTTATTTATTTGTTTAATTAAAATGTTGCTATTTTTTCCAGTTTTTATGCAATAAGTTCATTTCATTGAATGAGAAGCTTGAAAAATGTTTTAAAATTAATTTTAAATTGAGCTTCACAGACGAAGAAACGAGAGCGGTAAACTCAATAACACGAAATTCTCGGAAAAAACAATCAATTTTTCCCTTTCTTCTATTTTTTCCTCTCTCTTCTTCAACAATTTAGCGGGAAATTTTATTTGACTGACAACATTTCATGCTCTCTTGCCTGCACATGCGCATTACTCGCACGGGGCCTTATTTTCGTTAGAAATAGCTCTCTTCGACAAATACTCAGAATCATATGGTATTCAAGGTTATTGCTCACAAGAAATATCGTAATCAAACAAACATGAAAATAATACTTTTTATTTGGAATGAGTCATAACATGCTACATGCTTTAGGGAAAAATATTATGTTTATAAACACTTACCACTCAATACTTCTATATCCTTTGGCACAACAATGAAGATATTTAAAGTTCCCTTCCATTACATATTCTTGATCAATAACCTCTTTTGTAAACTGCATATATGATGTATTAACTGAAGCTCCATAAGTGTGATTCGCACAATATATTTTTGCACTTGCATTTGTCACATACAATACTGTCAAAGTAAGTAACAAAAATTTCAACCTCATATTTGAAAACATTTTAAATTGTTTTTTGTTCTTTTTTATGTTGCTATATGTTTAAAATAATAATCCAGTTTCAGTTATTTTATATCTCAGAAATTTTCCTTTTCAAATAAAAATTCAATCATTATGGCACGTAGCTTTGCTGAACTCTCGACATTTACATCACTAAGCACCCGTAAATAGCGCAATTTTTTCCGAGAACTGAACAAAATTATACGCAAGCGGAATTTCCAAGAAGATAATATTGCTTCTCTTTCTCACTAAATGTATACACAGATATTTTTTTGGTTCGTGAATTTTCAATTAAAAATTTGATTTTAACAATAACTTGCACACATTTTAAGTTCAATGTTCAAAATAGAAACATGTTATGTAGAATAATCTTTTAAATGATAATATTTTTACTGATAAGTATTTCCGAGAATTTCACTAATTTTTGTTAAAGGAATTGACAACAACCGGCTTGCTCAACAACTGGTAGTAGAATGAAGAAAAAATGTTACAATTGCTCAAAGAGAGGATTTTCAATTGTGAATGGAAGTAAGAGAGTGAGATCTCTGGAAATGTGAGGATTAACTCAGAAAGTAGTAAACGTTAACGAGCTTTATAAATTTAAAATTGTGTCTTGAATAAATTTGAAAGGAACTCAAGGTCTTTTTAATCCTACTTACTTTACTTAGCTGGCCGTACAGATCAATTGTCATCCATAGCCTCCCTTAGGAAACTGGCTCTATCGCTGGCTGTTTGCCAATTATCAATATTAAATGCAATACTGTCTCTGTCAACAGCTTCTTTCCAAGAATTCTTTGGACGTCCGCTTGATCTTTTGCCATCTACAAAGACATTCTTAAAGAAAAAGTCTTTTTAATCAAATGTGAAAAATGGTTCTCAGGCATAAAAAAATAAGTTGACTTATGCAGACAATACTCTAGAAATGACAAGTATACTAATTAAAAAATAAAATAATTAAGCAAATTAAAATCACAAAAATTTTTATATATTATTATCACTTGTTAGTATTAATATTAGAGCAGCAACCTGAAGTGTTTTGAAAGAGATACATAATCGAGAATTTCCCACATCAATCTGTCGATGCAAAACAAACACTTATTATATGCTAGAATTGAAATAAAAATAAGCAACCAAAACTTGTACTTGAGTTAATTACAAATTCGTAGAACTAATGTTTATAAGTGTTTATTATTATTATCACCTAGTATAGCTTCAAATGTCAGCAATGGCTAGGATGACAATTATTAAGAAATTTCTATAGACATTGCTTAGAACTTATTAAGTATAAGGTGTCAATTCTGATTAAATTGGCAATTCCATTGGTCACCAAAGTGATAAAAATGTATTTTATCAGTTTCGCAACCTTGATTTACAATTAAAAGACTAATCAACAAATTTTTAATATTTTTTTAAATCTTGTTTTTTATTACAGATTTTCATATTTTTTTCTTCACAATGTTTCAATTTTTTTGCGTTTCTTTTTTAAAATGTTTATAATTTTTTCTCTTCAATTAAATGTATCATGTCCAATAATCTGAAATGATTTGTTTTGCTTAGTAATATCTTCATTTACAAATTCCATATAAAGTATGTATCTTTTTATGTGTAGTTTTCATTTAAAAATCTGTACTAATTCAAAACTTGATGCAAATTTTTACTTTTGCTATGAATTTTTCACAATATTTTCTTTAGTGTGGGAAATATTTTTTTCTGGATAAGATTTATAAAAAAGAAACAGCGATAAATGAAAAATGGACATTGATTTTCCTTTGACGACATTTTACATATTTTTTTTTTATATTTCCTTAAATCAATAATTTCTCTTCTTTTTTGATTGAATTACATTAAGATGCATTTATTTATATATTTATACTTATGATTTGTTTCGGATTAAACTTTCTTGTTTAAGACTTTTAAAGTTCAATTTTTTACCCAATTAATTAATTAATTTATACATCTTGTGTTTTAAATATTTATACTTAATAGTGGTTTACCATTTAACTTTCTTTTTGTAGTTCATAACAAGAAAACTGAAAATTTATAAGAGCCATTGGATTTTGTGACATTTTAAGTTTTTTTCTTTTGATGCCGTAACTATAAAAAAATTCTTTGTCAAATAAAAATATTTCAAAACTTTATGTACATTATCCATTGTTAAGTTTAAACCAACTCTTAAGTTTGTTCGATTTTAAAGTTCAATATTTAGAAAGGATTTGTTTTAAAAAACTATTAAAAAATTTAAAACTTTTTAATAAAGTCAAATTTAGGTCCTGAATCTTCACTTTCTTTTTGTTTTGATGATCTTTGTTGAAAAACTCAACCTTGTCTAATTCATTAAGACTTTAATGAGAAGAGCCATAGACAAAAAATTTGTATTATTTATTCCCAAAACTTCATTTCGGCTCTTCAATTTAAATCATTCTGATTTGATCAAAATATTACGGAACAAAAATTAATTTAAATTCAAACTTCGATTTAACCTGTCTTTTCTTAAGTTGATGTATAACATAAAACATTAGAAATATAGGTACAATATCATCAAATATAAATCACATGAGATTGCTCTTATAATTTTTCAAAACTTCTCATCAAATCTTATCTCATGTTTTGCATGAAGATTGATATTATAGTTCAATAGTAAAACAGTATTTTTAATCAGGCAAATTTACACAATGAAAGCGATTTGTTATACAATTTTCAATATTTAATATTTTTTTCATATGTAGGAAAATGTTTAAGAGATATATGCTGACCTACATCCCAACAATATCTTTTTAAGAAGAAAATATCAATAATAATAATAATCAAAAGAAAGTGAATTAAAGTTTCAACTAATGCAAATTTTTGAAAAAAACAATTGATGTGATTTTTAACTCAAATTTAAAAGTCTAAGTTTAGATTGAATTTTTTCCAAACTCACCGTTTTTAAAACAAAAATGTAACTTATAAGTTTGTAAGTAATTTTCCGGGATAAAAAAATGTACAGTATTTTGTATGTGTCATGTAATTGGCAGACACTGCTTGAAAGAATCACATCAATTAGTGAATCCAGTTCATTAAGATGGCTCAAAATTATCAGTCAAAGGTTTTTTTGCCATTATATTACATTGAACTTGTTTAAATTTGAGCTAAATTGACATCAAACAGGAAGGAAATGAAGCAGAAATTAAGAATTATTCTAAATTAAAATGAAAATTAAGAATTTAAACTTATTTTGACATAAAAATTAAAGTGTCATGCAGAACTCTTTCAGAAAATAAAAAAGTTCTGGCTGCTTCAAAACAATTCTTCATTTATTTATCTTAAACATTACTTAATTTTAATATTTATAAGTATTTTTTATGCAATTTTCTTTTTTTTTCGTTTCTTTTTTTCTTGGTTTTAATGCATTAATTAATAATTACAATTGTTTTTATTTCTTAAACATCTATACGCTTTTTTTTTCTACTCAAAATTTACTTTTCTTTTGACATTATTTTCTGAGACGTCGATGAGATAAAAATTAAAAATCAAATTTAACATGAAAACTTATAATATTTTGTTTTTCATTCATTAATTAATATTAAATTAATTTAAGTCACTTTACAAAAATCTATCATCTTTCAATATTTTTTAAACAATCACATTTAAGACAATTTGGTCTCAATTTCTATTTAACTGCCATTCCAGTCCTCAAATGTGATGATTTTTTTTTTAAACTCGAAATGAATAATTTAATTGCTGTTTGTGTTGTTTCCATTACTACTGCCATTGAATGGTGAAAGTGAGTGAGAAGAATTGAGGTCCACTATATCACCATCAAAGTTCTCTGGGCGTTAATACATAACTTCATAAACTGTCGCTTTCTTATCTCCAGATCCAGTAACAATATATTTATCATCTGTTGAAATGTCACAGCTAAGCACCGATGATGTTTCTTTTGACTAAAATGTATTTAATAAATTAATAATAAGAAATAATAATCGAAAGTTAAAGTAAGTAATACTCACTTGGAATATACTAGCTCCGTACGGTGTTCTCCAAGCGTTAAGCAAGTTATCTTTACCCGTTGATACAAACCATTTTCCACAGGTTGCAAAACGTAATGATAAAACACAGCTTTCATGTAAATGAAGCTGATATTTTTCTGATTTTGTAGCATGAAGTACTTCAACATGTGAATTTTCCATTCCAACAGCCAGCCAGTCACCTAAAAAATATCATTTATAGAATTTCCATTTTAAATTTGAATTGTTATTTTATAAATACCTGTCGGACAATATCCCAGTGAGAAGATTTGCGAACTAAAGTCGTGCTGCTGAAGTTGTCGTCCTTCTCTTAGATCCCACGATCTCACTGTATTATCTAAACCACCTGTCCATAATTTAGAACCGCACGGACTAATATCAATACATGAAGCACCATCGGTATGGCCTTGAAATTGTCTCACAAGTGTTTGATTGTTGAGATCCCACACAGCAATATTTCCATCACTACAACATGAGAAACATACTTTGGAGTCAGGTGAAATGGCTAAGGCATAACATGCTGGTGCTGCAGATGTTAATTCGGCTTTAATTCGTGGCGTTGGACTTGCCAAGTCCCAGATACTTAAATTAGATGCTTCACCACCCACAATTAGTGTTCTGCCATCGGGCAATAATTTTACAGAGCGAATATAATTATCTCGTTGCTATAGATATGAAAAAAAAAATTAGGTAATTAGAAACATTTTTATAGAAATTTATTTTTATATCCTTACCAAACAATCAAGCTGACTAACTGGACTTTTATTTCCCGGCTGTGAAATATCCCACACTTTCACGCATCCTTTTCCTCCCGTGTACACATATTTTGTAGGATTTGATATTGTTACAGCGCATACTACTTCCCCATGTGATAATGTATTGATTTGGCGGGCCTGTCTTGGAATTCCTGGACCACTCAAGGCGTCTGGTGGAAAGGGAACTGGCTGTAAATTCCCATCTGATACAACATGAAATGAATATGCACTAAAAAATAAGAAAGAGAGATTTTTTTTATTAAGATTATATTGATACATTATAGTTGCAAATATTAATTTGACTTGATAAGCTACTCACGGTTTTCCTCCAACTCCGGGCAAAGGTAATCCATTTGTTCTCATATGTGAATGTGGATCGTAGCCAAGTTGTTGAATTCGTCCATAAGGGTCTGGTGGTGGTCTTTGATAAGGATCAGCAGGTCGTTGATAAGGAGATGAAGGATATCCAGCTGGTGATGGTATGACAGCTTTAGGTGGAACACCTGGTGTTGAATTTGGTGTTGTTGAGCGTGCTTTTGCACCTGGGGTTCCAGGCTTATCGAGCTATAGAAATAAATAAATGTTATTAATAAATATTATGAATGTTTCTGCAGTCAATCACTTACATCTTTTGTTTTGAGATTTGGTGTTGAACGTGATGAACTAGAGCCAGAACGTGATGGTGGACGATCATTATTTAATTTACTAGATCCAGCTTTATCACCATTTCTATCTCCATTTAATCCAATACTGTCACGATCCCGTGATTCCGAATGATCACCATTGGCTCGAGGTGAAGGTGAACCCTGAAAAAATATTTTATTAAAATTCATTTGAAATCAAACGTTTTGTGTTAATCGAGTGACTACATGATTCTTAAAATATATACTTGAATCATTATTTATGATGATTAAATTTAAAAGATTTTTTTAAATATATTTTATTTATTTTCGGGCGGAAATTGCGTCACACAAAAAAGATGATGAAAGAAAAATATGTCAGTAAAGCAAACATGAAATTATAAAGCAGCAAATGCAATAAACTGATTTATGCTACAGTTATCATGTGAAAACAATAAAAATAAAATGTTACATCAAATAATGTAATAGAATAAGTGAAATAAACATATAAAATAATTGTAATAATTAAGTTTTCCCCACAGATAAGAACGATCGCCATTTCACCACACCTCTAACACCACCATAATTATCCCAAAACAATTCATTAAAATTACACCGATTTCCTCGAATTTTTAAGTGCATCTTTATTGTGAATAACACAACAACAAATAAGTTTGGACAATTTTTCCATTTATTTGATTTTGATAGAGAATTTTTGATTATTGTGAATAATTTTTTAAGGCAGAAAAGGTTTTTGAATATTGAAAAATAAATTGACAGCAGTGAAAGAAAAAGTCTCTTATGTATCTCAAAAGTAACTTTCTTTTTGTGTGTGTAGAGAGATTGTCTTTTTATTGGGAAAACTTACCGTATCATTTGCGATGTCCACAACCAAATCCTGCTCACTTTTTTCACCATCGCTTTCCTGTAAACGAATTGGACGTGGAAAGAAAAAATATGGAAAAGAAAAATATGAAATAATAAATAATCATAAAAATCAAAATAAACTACGAATTGGTTTTGTTTTGTTTAAAATTAAAAAAATTTTGCCAATAAGTTCTTTAACATTTGTCTGAAACCTAACATTCATTTGAAGACAAGCTTTGTTGAAAAAAATTGATTTTGACTACTAGGAAAAATTTAATGTTTTGAAAAATAAGGTAAAAGGTCTTGTAGTTATTCAAAAATGTAGTTCATAGTAAAATTTTTCCTTTTTCAACCATTTTTAAACTTTGAAAGAAAATTCTTTTTAAATGTTAAATCAAAAATAAATGAGCATAAAAAATGTTTTTCTAGTGCCAAATATTTTGAATCCTAGCATATCAATTTTGTCAATAATCTTTTTACCAAAGCTTGCAACAAATATCAAAATTTAATTTCATAAACTATAAAAAAAAATAATTTTCCTCGATATAAACTTTTTTTATAAACGATTCAAAGATAATTTGGAGTTTAAATGATTATTTTTGAAAAAAATAAATTAAAAACAGAATAATAACTTGTTTTGAAAAATAAGGTAAAAGGTCTTGTAGTTATTCAAAAATGTAGTTCATAGTAAAATTTTTCCTTTTTCAACCATTTTTAAACTTTGAAAGAAAATTCTTTTTAAATGTTAAATCAAAAATAAATGAGCATAAAAAATGTTTTTCTAGTGCCAAATATTTTGAATCCTAGCATATCAATTTTGTCAATAATCTTTTTACCAAAGCTTGCAACAAATATCAAAATTTAATTTCATAAACTATAAAAAAAAAATAATTTTCCTCGATATAAACTTTTTTTATAAACGATTCAAAGATAATTTGGAGTTTAAATGATTATTTTTGAAAAAAATAAATTAAAAACAGAATAATAACTTGTTATGAAATGATACAATGAATATAATACACGCAAAATGAATGAATTAAATTAAGTTCCGATAATAAATAAATATTTCATAAAAAAAAATCCAGGTGTTAATTACAAAAAAAATAATTAATCAATTAATTGATTAACAATAATTAATTATGATACATAATATTTTTGAGAATTGGAAGGTAAATAATGGGAAATGAAAGTAACTTTTTAACCTCATTAAACAGTCATGAATAGTTGAGATTATTGATGGTCAACTTGTCAGTCAATCAACGAAGATTAAGGATAATAACAATGACTTACCACACAAAAATCAATTAAATAGAAAACTTTAATTGCATTAAGTATCTGATTATGCATTAAAAATTGACTAAGCGATTCAATAAAGATGCAGCATTCAAAAGTATATCGCTGAGACTCTTACAATCAATTCAATCATCCCATAATATATAAACTCCAAACACCCCAAAACGAGTAAATATTAAAAATTTTATGGACATTTAAAAACTGACTTCAACTTTATTTTTTATAATTTTTCATCTTCACAATAATTTATGACAACCTTTTTTTCCCAGAAGTTGATGTTTCAGAATTAACTCCTTCCAATTTTATTCTTAATTGAGTTTTAAAACACAATGTTAAAAAAAAGTCCTACTAAGGACACAAAAAAAAACATATTCAAAAATAAAGAAAATGCAATGAAAATAAATTCAATAATTCAAAATAAAAATGCGAAAATTTCTCCAAGTTACAAGTTAAAATAATAAAATTTATGGAGGCATAATAAGAAATTAAGATGAAAATTAAAACTAATTGAGCAATAAATTAAAAAATCAATTTGCTTAATTATTCTCTCGTTCATCTTCATAATTGAAATAAAATCAATTTGTTCGACACATTCCCGCCCGAAAAAATATTGTTACTGGTATTTTATTGTAATAATGTTTATGTAGCTTATGAGTATTAATTAAAAATATATTCGGTTCTTTCTATTGTTTTTTTTAAATTCTTTATCAATTTTTGCCATTGGCAATTTTATTACTCAATAATTCTAACAATGATAAACTTACATGATTCACTTTAATTTCTTCTTTCCGACGCTTTGCATCAGAATCAATATCAAGTGGTGAACGTGATCGGTACTTTTCTCTATCTGCTGGTGACACTGAATTTCTCTGTGAAAATATAAAAGTGTATTTTAATTAATTTCCATCCATAAACAATGATCGTTAAGATAATAAAATAAAATAAACAAAATACTAACCAATCTTTCATCAGCTGATGGTCCTGCAAGTGGCTTAATATCTTCACGATGAAGATCTTGTGGTGTTTTGAGTAGACTTTGTGGACCATGTGGAAGTCCCATTGGACCAGCGGCAAAAGCACCTAATGGTCCTAATGCTCCTAATGCTGGAATAGGCTGAGGTGGTGCTCCTGGAATCTGTTGTGCATGTATTTGTTGCTATATTAATTAAAAATAAAAGGAAAACGAAAATTAGTCATTAATTTTATAGCTTGAGATTGTAAACTGTACAATATACCACAAAATGTATGTATACTAATACCAAAAATGTCGTGACAATGAAAATGTTTTTGATAAACTTTTGTGTAATTTAGCATGAAAAGCAATTCCCCATTTTTTATTATGCAAATTTTATTTTATTATTATACTTTCCTCATGCTGATAAAGCTACCAAAAATATTTATATTCGTAAGCATTCCACCAAAACAATAATGTGAGAGCAACAAACGAGTTTGTCGCGCCCACGAAAATAAAATAAAAAGCATGTATATACATAAATACAGCATATAGTACAGAGAAGAGAAAAAAACGAATAAAATAAAATAATAATAGCCGAGAAAGTAATACAATCAAATGAGAAATAAGTAAGCACATACAAGATACCAACAAAAAAAAAAGAGTAAAAAGGAGAAAAATGGAATCATAAAAAATTGTGTCATAAACAACCCCACAAAGTGCCATGCTATTTAATATCCATACAAAAGCAACGTACTATATAGCACTCTCAAACCGTAATAAGACCAAAAAACAACAAATACAACATTAGTCTATAGTTAAAGGCACAAAAATTGTGGTTAAATAACAACATGAAAGCAAAAGTAAAGGCTGTTCATAAGAACTAACTAATTTTCACATAAATCTTTGTGTCCAACTCATGCGACTTACTACTATAACAAAAAAAAATAATAATAATAACAACAACAACAATTACAACAATCTGAAGGATGAAAACTAGGAAATTGAGAATGGGAAGTGGTGGGTTGGCTAAGGTGACTGACTGTTGTTTTGTGTATTGTAATAAAACTTTTTATGGTGTTACTGTTTTGTTAGCAAATCTAGATCTTTCTTTCATTCTACACAATTTAATTGCATACAATTAGAAGCCCCTGTTAAGGACTCTGTTAAAATGTGAACTGTAAAAGTTGTAATAGAGTGGAGAATGAGAATTAGGATTTTATATTAAATAAGTATGCATGCTTATACATATTATTCACAATGGAAAGCCGCTGTTTTAAGGCTACTTCACTCCTTTTTTTATTATTGTTATTATTATTTTCTCTTAAACAGTGTTTTTATTGCCTTGGATCGTTACCAAATTGTGTGCGAATGAACGCATTAAAGGCTTCGAGTTATTAAGATAAGCCATAAGCACATAAAGAGTAAAAAGAAAATTATGGCTGAGAAAAAGCAATAAAAGGTGTAAAGGTTAATTTGTATTTTTTTACTCGACCAACTCATTTCCCTTTTTTCTCGTTATTATTTTTTATTATTATTTTTTTTTTGTTGGAAAGGATCAGCACTTTTTAATGAAGAGGAAAATTTTTTTGGGTGAGGTAATGAAGTTTGAGGATTGGTCATCATAAAGTACAAAGAGTAATTAACTTATCTTGTATCATCTGGGCTTTCAAGGTTGAACATTTAATATATGATGAGTAATGTTAAAAATAATTAATATGTATTTTGCTTTAGACCGTCTTTAAATTTAAGAAGAGAAAAATCGTCATATATGTAAGTTTTAAAAAATTATGGAAGTACCCACTGATGACATTTTAATTTAATCCATTTTTTTTTTTTAAAAACTTCATTTCCAATTATTTTCTGACCATATCAATTGTATATTGGCAAAACAATTTATTCACTTTTTGCCACCTTTAACACTTAATTTAATTTTAGCAACATAATTATTGTTATGATTTTTCACCTGTCTGTATAGTGACAGAAATTAATATCCCGAAAAAAAAATTGTGTCAATTTATAGTGGATGAAATGGAGAGAGAAGGATGCACTGGGAGGCTTTTGTATAATTGGCAGTTTTGAGTTTTATTTTTAATATTTTCACACAATTCGTATTAAAACGAATCAACCGGGGAAAAAAAAGAATAATTAATTGTGTGCAATTCATAATGATATTCAGCAGGAAAAAGGTAAATTCATCACATATTTCGTCTCCCTATACTTTACTATCTCGGCATGAATTAATAATTTTATGAATTAAATGATACGAGTTTACTAAAGAAATTGTGAAAGCACAGTTTAATCATATTTAATTAGCAATTATAAATTGAAAATTCTGAACGACATTCGACTATAATAAAATTTCCATACCATCACGTATGTTGAGAGAATAACATTCAATAGCTTTTTTTTTTGTTGGTACATTAAATGCATAGCAAATAATGTACAGTCGAATGAAACATAAAATTTTCATTTTTCATACGTGAAATATTATTTGATGACAAAATATTTATAATATTTTATGCTTGTGTTGTGATACAAAAATATTTATACCTATGTACATCCATAAAATATGGCTGAGAATGAAAAATATGAAAATTATTACTAATTTATCTGAGAGGGTGTGAGCGTATAACAAAAATCACGGAAGCAATTTTTTTTGGTAATAAAAATGTTCAAGCATGATTTGATTTTTCTACCCCCAAAAAGAGTCATAACAGTGATTCATTCTTGCCATTGGCAATCATTAATACAATTAACCGACACCCCATCACCTCTCTTTTTCCATTTATTCTCACCCTTCTCATTTTATTGTTGCTGTTTACGCTTCAACAGCCAAAAAAGTGAATTTAATTAAATTGCTATAAATCACAATGGAGCTAAAAAAAGGGCAAACGATGAAATAGAGGAAGAGAGAACCGGAAAATTTAATTTATGATTTTTTGTTTCTTATGTAATTCCCAAATATGTCTCATAAAATACAATAATCTATGGAGCATTAAGTAATTGAGGATTTTCTGTCTATTATTATTATTATTTTTATTATTAATATTTGGATAAGAAATGAAATGTTACAGTTTAATACTAAACACTTAAAAGGGTTAATAGAAAAATCTATATTCACCCATCTGCCTCTAGGCAGCTGCCTAAAATTCTCTCACTGACCCTAAAAAAATTGTTCATCATCTTCCTCAACAACGACTACATAGAAGAGATATTATGATTAAAATTCAAATAAAGTTCCATTACTCGTCACCACATGACATTCAATTCAAAAAATGGAAAAAGCTAGCAATGAAAAAAAGTGGATGAATCCAATTCACAAGGGAAAATCCCAAAAATTTATAATTTTTTTTCCTTGCCTTTTTCATTTTTCGACCCTTTGTATAAATATATCTACAGATCTATATGTTATGTTGTTGAAGTATCAAGCAACCCTCAAAATTGGATATTTTTTTCATTCTTTATTTTCCCTCTCAAGCATTATTTTTTTTTTGCGAAAGAGCGAAGAGCAAATAATTGAGGGATTAGTAAGATTATCATGCACATAGGAAAGCAAACGAGACAAACGTGAAGATGAGGAAAAAAAGGGGATGAAGATTTTTGTTTGCACTTTTAATTTTCCCAGTGGTGCTAATCTGTGCTTGTGCATCGATTTGATTCCTCTTATATTTGCTGAACTAAAAATATATTACGTCTGCTTCAATAAATAAACCTTATTGATTTAACCAAACCGTCCACAAAAATCCAAATTAATTGACTTAAAAAATCTACATTTATATCTACATCAAATTTGTTGCAAGGGAGCTTTATTATCATATAATAGAGCAAAAATTACATTAAATTCTTCTGTTAAAGCTTTAACATATTTTTCGTCACTTCAACTACCTACTTAATAAAACTGAACAATTCACAAGTTTCAACCTCAAACCACATTTTTAGTCCTTGCTTTTTTTCTCCTTCGTTTATCATTATTATGAATCCAGCAAATGATTTTACTTTACCCTCGTTTAATTTTTACAACATTTTCATGAAAAAAAAATATTTTTTCTTCCTTTTTTTTGTTAACGAGTGTGGAGGGTGGTTTTGCTTGCTTTGCCACTGACTGCCATAATAAAGTAAAGTTTTCACCCTGTTTATTCATAAAACGACAATGGAGGAAGAGGTAAAAGGAAATAACAGCAGCAAAAAATTAAATCACGTTTTTTTTTCTCTTCAACAGAATAAAACACCCTGTCGTGATATAGAGACATAAATTCCTGAATAATTTTTCCTCGCTCGCCTTTTTAGTCGCTTATTTCACTTCCACACAAATTTTCATACCCTCCTGTCTTATTTGTATGACTACAACTACTCTTCTTACTTTCACCCTCCTTTCACTTGTTCTGTTGTTGTTGCTCCTCATCTTTTTTTTTTACTTTTTTATTTTCTATATCCAAGTGTTGGCATTTTATTTATTCTCTCCTTCTCTTGAAGAAGAACAACACAAAAAAGTTTATAGTACTGCTGCTTTTCAAACCAGAACAACAGCAACAGTGAACAAAAAAGCAATGAAATTTCAGACGACTAAAGGAGAGTGTGAGGAATGCGCAACAACAAGCACAAAAACAACAAACGAAAACTTTCAGGTCGTTTCAATTCCTCACTTACAGAGTCTTGGGGAGGGGTAGTGAATAAAAACTGAAAATTACTTCTCGTCGCTTTTTTTTTCTGTTCCGTTTGGTTTGAAATTAATTTTTACTGTTCATTCGGGGGTTGCTCTTGCTATTTGCTGTTCCTTCTTTATTTTTATTATCATCATCAACTTTTTATGTGGAGATAAGCACAGAGCGCTTAAGACAAAGCTTTATTTTTTCCAAAATTCAGATGAAAACATACTTATAAGCCACCAGCCATCGAATTTAAAAATACAGAAAATAAATCAATCTAAAGTTAGGACAAAGTGTTCATTCCAAAAAAAAATCAGTTCATAGTAAAATTATGGAATGAGATTATGAGAATATAAAAGTAAGCGAAGGGTGCCAGATGAATAGGATTTGTTTCCATTTCTTCTTCTTCCCACACCCGTTCTTACAGCTTTTTTTTTATTATAGTATTTCATGCCGCCCCCGATGATTTTAAATGTAAATGAGGGTAGTAAATTTTTTTTTGTGTTTTACTTCTTTTTTTCCCTTCATTTTATTTCCACATCGTTTTATTATTTTCATTTCTTTTTATCATACCCGACAATGTTATAACAGCAGAGCAAACTCATTCTCATAAAAATGAACATACAACCTACTACCCCACATTTTTTGGTTGGGGGTGCTTTTATGCTTTAAGTAAGTGAAACACAGCAGTGTGAGAATGGAAAAAATATGGCTTTGGTGCTGTTATTATTTGCTGTTATTTAAAAAGCAGTGAGAAGCTCAGTAGCACACGACATTGAATAATTTTCATTTCTTCCTCTTTTTTTTTTGCTTTCATACAGAAGTGCCTTGTTGTAACGTCGAAAAGAGGGTTTTAACATTCTTTTATTATTATTATTGTTAACGGCTCTCATTTTCATGCCCTTTTTTGTTATGCCAGTTCTTTCCTACTCTCTTACTCAACCTCATTCCCCATAAACCAACACTACCATCGTCATCATCATCATCATTGTGAAATTGTAAATTATGATAAGCATTGTGTTACGCCAAAAAGAAGAAGAAGAAGAAGGAGATGAAATATTCAATTTTTTGGGTGTGTATGTCAACTTTTATGGACTGACCTCAAAAGTGTGAGTATTGTAATGTATTTAATAAACTCATATAGAAATTAATTTTGCTATGTTAATTGCTGTCGGAAAAGATTTGTTGATTAAGGCTCAGCATGAAATAATATTAAGGGGATGGAGATCGAAACTTTATATTTTCAGATATTTTGTCAACGCAATACACACGTCATGCATTAATATTATGATATAGAAGGCGCAAAGAAAAAGTTTCGAGATAATTGAATGCCAAAAGAGATTCTTGATAATAATTGAAAAATCAGTGTAACAGGAAAATATGAATTTGTGGACTAAGCAAGGAAAAAAGGAGTGGGATTTAAAAACCAGAACATAAAAATCACATTAAACCCTTAATCGTTAATGAACCTTTTAGAATATCACCATAGAGCTATAGAGTTGAATGGCCCGGAAGGAGAAAAAAAAGCGAGAACAACAATGACAATAAAGCAAATTTAATGTGAAAATATTATTTCTGCTGTAATTTAATTTTGAAGCTGATTTCGCAAATGCCCTAAAGGGGACTCATAGCTCTCCGGTAGATGAATGGCAGTGAAAGTTTATTGAAACGGAAAAAAAATATTTTCAGTTATTTTTAATAAAATAATAAAAATAATAATTTCATTTTATGAGTGAGAAAGTCAATATTGGTAGGCGCATGGGAAATGATCGTAGTATGAGAGACAGAAAAAAAAATGAGGAGGCATAATAGGGGAGGATGATGAAAATGAAAATGATGTTTATGATAATGACATTGAATGAAAATGAAATTACTGAATACATAAAAATTATATTGTTGTTATTGTTATTATTGAAATCATGACACACACAAAAGGTTAATTAACGTGATCGCAAGTAACAGTCTTAACTTATGGGGAAAAATTATTTTCAAGCATTTCATTTTGGTTTTTTTTATGTTAATTTATTTTTTTCCATTCAAGTCTTTTTGGACACTTACTAGAAGTTGTTGAATTCCCTGTTGTTGATGTTGCTAAAGATGATTGCAAAAAAATAGAAGAAGAGAAATAGATATAAATCATAATTTTGTACTGTGTTGTACTTTTAAATATTGTGTTCTGAGGATCTCATGTGTGTAATTAATTTTAATAATTTTCGAGTTTTTTAATTGAAAAAAATCAAGAAGATTTTGAAAACATATTCAAGGAATTAAATTATAAGATAAAACAACTAAATCTCGTATAAGTCTTAAATAGAAACTTCAGAAGTCCTTTTTAATCTTCAAAATAATTAAAATAAAATCAATCTAAAGAGCTTATTCCTGCGTTTACAATTTTAATAAGATTAAGTTGCCTAATTATTTTAATGTGATAATTATATCAAGAAAGATAAAATGTCTAGAATCTGCTTGTTTGTAAAAGGTAATCATTATCTTTAAAAATGTGGAAAGTTTAACTTCATTGTTGCCTTCTTTTTAATTTGTTTAGACCAAGTCAAGAAAAGTTCTGTACATTTCAAAATAATGATAAAAAAAAACTTTCTACATAAATCTACTAAAACAATATAAACCAAAAGTTTATGATACAAGAAAAAATAAGTAAATAAATAAATAAATAAGGTTCATAACACCTAAAACCAAAAAATACTTTGTTTGTGTCTAGAAAAATAACATTTTATGTTTGGCATAAAAGCTTACCCCTATAATTGCATTTAGCTCTGGCATTGTCACTTGTTTTGCACGCTCCACAGCCTGCGCCACTTGTTGTTGATGTTCACTTGCTAGAAACGGCACAATCTGTCCAATTAGTGCATTTAGTCTTTTTGCTATCTCCGTCTGTTCGGGAAAAATGAAAGAAAAAAGTTTGAATCAGTTTTTCGTATAAATACGATCAAAAATGTGCACTGAATGATGAATTATTGTACATTACTTTTCATTACCTATGCATTATGTCAAATCAGATAAGCAAAAATTAATTAATTTACATTGCAAGATCTTGGAAAAATGTTCATTCAATGACGTACTTCCCATTTTATAAAGAAATATCCAAATGCAATTACTATTCACATCTATTCATCCATCCATCCATTTATTCATTTTTACAACCATCTCTGCTGAGCGTTGAACAACATGAAAAAATATATACGATCGGAATTGAGAAGGAGAAGGAGGGAATGAAATTGGAGCAGTTTAAGGACGCATAAAAATTTCCATCAATTTTAAATACAAGAGTACTTTGCTTCCATCATACAACCTCAAGGGGTTCTTTTTCCATCCTTTTTAACCCTTTTTGTACTGTGCTTTATTTTTTTCTTTCTTCATCATCAACGCCAGCGTCATGATTATCATTGAAACAAAACCGCAAAGAAAAGTGCACCCTCTTGGCGCATAAAAGTGTTTTTCTACTTACATAAATTACCCTTCTTGAAGTTTTATCATGCTTCTTCTTCCTTTCTCATTTTTCTCTCAAAAAAAATTTCAATTTAATTAATAATCTGTCTTTTTCTAAGTGACTCGTTGGTTAAATGTTAGCAAAAATCGTTTAACTTTTAAAATTCAGGTAGCTTGAAAAAAGAATTGTTTGTAAAAACAGCAATTATTATCATTTTGAAGCCACAAAAGCCATTCCCCAATGCATAAATCGAATAAAATAATAATAATAAATGTAACAAAAATATGGACAAACTTTTATGTTGATAAAATCAGTTACTCCATATAGTTTTTTTATATGTTCTGTACTTTTTCATCAAACCACTACCACATTCATTGGCACGTTCATTGCAATTGCACATTCGCTATGTGGTCAAACAGCAATTACATGATAAAAATATAAATTTTTTATGTGAGTAGCCTCAACGAGGAAAAGCTTTACTACTTCACATAGGATCAATTTGTTTAAAACTACTCATTCTACCTTTGCAACTTTCGACCAAACAAAAAATAGGGAGGGAAAATAAATGAATGAATAAAAATGTATTTTAATCAAAAAATAATTGTGATTAATAATCGTTGAAGCGCGCGCGTTTGGATGATGTGGTTTTTGCGTTTTTACACGCAAAATAGCGGCATGTGTGTGTTTATTTTTCAGCATGGTCAACCTATACTGTACGTTAATGTTGACTTTTTTATGTTCATTTCGTGAAAGGAAGAAAAAATTTTATTGCTCATTTTGTCCACAATTATGTAAAATAAATAATAAACTTTTAATGTTGACTTTTTAATAAACTTGAATCAATCATGAATCCATCTTATTATTGTGCCTTAAAAGTGAATATCCGTAAATATAAAGCTTTATTCGCATAGAAAGCAAAACATGCATGTTTAAGTATTTTCTCTGTATGTCCATTTATCAACAACTCCGGTAGTTTGTGGATCTCATGTTGAATGCAATTACACGTGACTAATTTAGATTTATTTTGAACGTGATAAAAGCAGTCAGAAAGTCAACTAATGTAAACTGTTCTTTATCATTTCAACTCCCCTCATATCATCAAATTTATCCATTTCTATGGCCCTTATTCTCCCTAACGTGTATGAATATATCATGAAGAGAGAATAAAAAGAAATGGTAGTATATGAAGAGAGACATTAAGCACATTCACCAAAAATTACATCATTAAAATGTTGTTTCCGTTCTCTCACATTTTTTCCTCCCCTTTTTCCATTTCTTTCTACATGATAAAATATAGATACATGATATTCTATGGTATCAAGTAAAAAAGGATACGAAATACGTGAATATATTGCTATACTTTTAAGCTTGTTTATTGTTTCAACATTTTCATTCTTTTTAGTGTCTCTTACTCTTCTTTTTTTCACACAACCGAGGGAAAAGAAAAAAAAATTCTCATCAGCAATAAAAGACGAATACAAACATGTACGAAAAATGGAGCACTATCACATAACATTCAGTAAAAGTCGAAGAAAAGGAGGAAGAACGAGAGGACACAAAAAGCACATAAAAATATAAAGAAAATCACCATCCGTTTTCAGCTTAAATTTTATAGATTTACAAAGAAGAGCTTGTCGAGTATGAGACAACACAACAATGGAGGGAAGAAAATATATGAAGAAATAACCCTTAAGGCTAAAACCTTTCGACATCGCTTAGTACATCATGTCAAGTTGAGCATCATCATTTCAAACCATTCTCGTTCTTTCAATTGATAATAAATATCAAAGTCCTTAAATATAATTTTACACAATAAAGTATCTAGTGGAATTTGAATTAATATATTTACTGTTTCATTTGCCACTTAGTATCCATCATTAATGAGAGCCAAAGCGAGAACATAATTGTTATAAAAAAGACCAAAAAAAAATTATTCTGGAAGGAGTATGAATTGATGTTTTGTGGTTTCGATAACCAAAAAATCCAATTTTCCCTGCTGCCAACTCTCTATGAAAACGGCGCTGATTCTTTTGTGAATTGATATGGAGTGGGGCTAAACATTTTCCCTTCTCCTCTTCGATTATATTCTTTTGTATGCTTTATAAGAATAAAAGAGAATGAAAATGTATGGATCCAACATGATTTGCCTTGCTCAATTTTTGTTCTTTCCTATTTTATTGTTTTCCCTTGAAGCTTATTTCTTGATCCTTCCGAAAGGAAATGTGGATGTTATAAAAAAGAAGGAAAATCGAGAACACATAAACATCTTTCGAAAAGTGCCTTTCAATAAATGTAAGCATGTATGGCATATAGTAAGAAGACACAATGACATATACATTACTAGCAGATTGTGCCCCCCACTTTCAGATGTATACATATATATTGAGAACGAGCGAATATATTTACAGAATAAACAGAAGCAGAAGAACTTTTATATATGGATGATGACACAAGCAGTACAATAACCCATTACTGTTATCCGATGAAGAAGAGCATACACATAACTATTGAATGGCTCAAACAAAATTTCAAGCAAATATTGAGCTTTGAATCCTCCCTCCATGTACACACATATTCGTATATACAAATAAACATTGTATTTTGTATTATGTCATCATCATAGATGATTTCTGTTTTCTTTTACTGAGGGTATGTTCACTCGCTTTTTTTTTGCTGTATTCTTCTTCATCATGTCAATAATGTCGATTTCGATACATGAAAAATCCAAATCGAATTGACTGCAGCAAATGTGTTGTAGATATATACATACGTATACGAAAATATACTTATGGTGTGAGTTGAACATATAACAGCACAAAAAAAAATTCATCGAAAAACATTTTCTCGGATTTTCTTATTCTTTATTCGTTTTATTTTATTTTCATTCTCTACCAACCACCCAACCTCCTTATCTCCTTCCACATTTCAATGCTTTCTCTCTATCCGTCTCTCTCGCAATTCAGTTACGGATCACTCAACATGAAATGTTCGAAATGTGCTTCTTTTCTTTTTATTTAATCGACAAATATAAAGGCAAATATCAGCACAATAAAGTGTGATGGAAAAAGATTGTGGGTTGAAATCGAAAAGAATATTGTGGAGAGGAGGAAGAAGAAAGGAAAAGTGGTTGGAATGAGAAGGGCTTTATTATATTCAACTACAAATATCAAAACGGCACTAAAGGAAAATGCTTTGCCTTTGTTTGTATGTTGTCGTTCCAATAGGTTTTCATGTTTTCCATTAATCATTGCTGCTTCTCTTTAAATGTCTTTATATGTTCCCACTCTCTTTTGAATGTTTATTTGATGGTATCGATTATGGAGTAAATCAAACAACTTTCTATTCGAATTGATAATTTGAATTTGACATGAAATTTAAAAGGAAACCAGCTATACTGGATGGTTATTAATCATTTGTGTCGTTGATTATTTCGAAAGGGTTGAGCTTTTATGACAGCTCAATACCATTAAAATTATGTGATAAAAGGGTTTTAGGTGGGGGAGGGCTTGGAGGGTCTGAAAATCACATTTGCATGACAATGAACGATTATACTCTGAATCAGCTATTTAAATTAATTAGTGAATGTTTGTAATACTCAATTAAGTGTAAAATCTCCTTCAGCATTTAAAAAGTTTTTTTTTTGCAATCCGTCTCAGCAACAATCAAAGTTAAAATTCAATTTCACAAAAACGACAAAACATGCAGAGTGATAAAAATTCATTGTAAAATAAATTGGCAATATCGTTAGTTAAGTGCTTTAGAATGAAAAGGAGAGGAACTCCTTGAACTAAATACAATAAAGAAGCAGTAAGTAGCATGGCAAACAATTTTTCCTTCAATGAAGATTGTAAATAAATGGTAAGCAATTTAATTTTATAATTTTTATTGTTATAGCAAATTTTCATCTCTCTCCTCTCTATCTGCAAGCAATTTTCATTCCATCCCCTCAATATATTTATTTTTAACAATCATTCATTGTCGTCTCATGAGACTGTGATTCACAATAATGGAATGAAAGAAGAATGAAATTCTCAAGTGCCGATTATCGCTTGTTCATTCAAGGGCTTCACATTTTACGGTATGTTAGTAAAAGTAGATATATGGATACATACAAATATTCCAATAAACCTTCAGTACAAGATATGAACATCACATTCATTCAACCCCTGATCTTGAAAATGTAATTTCGACGATATCTTTTCTTGTCGAATGTGTGTATGTATGGTTGTTCACTATAAATATAAAGCATGTAAAGCCATCAGAAAACGATATATAGTAAGTAAAATAGAGATGAGCTAGAGAATGGGGAAACGACAAAAGAATATACACACGGATATATCATGATAAAGGCAAAAAAAAAAATAAGAAAAGGAAAAAAAGAAGGAAGCCGCCCCTATATTAAACCATACATAACAGGCACAAATTCCCTTAAGTCACATCTCAT